CTGTTTCCACACCCCAGCTCCATCTGTCTGTGACAGCGCAGAGGTCATTCTTACTTCTAAAGGTTGGGGATGCGTCGCCTCTGCTCTCTCCACCTTCTATTCTCTCCACCTTTTCCCTTCACTCTGGTATACCTGTCTGGCAGGTGAGACAGCACATGTGGAGAAATAGGAGGGAAGGAGGTGTCAATTCCAGGTATCATCCCACTCACTGGAGCCTGGACACACCCCTCATTATCTTTCCCCTCCCTGCACCCACTGTCACCTCCCTCTCCTTTGTTTTATTATCTGTTCATCATCATCTTCATCCTCATTTCTTTTCTTTTTCTTTTTTTTTTTTCTGAGATGGAGTCTCTGTCACCCAGGCTGGAATGCAGTGGTGCGATCTTGGCTCACTGCAACCGTCGCCTCTTGGGTTCAAGTCACTCTGCCTCAGCTTCCTGAGTAGCTGGGATTATAGGCGCCCACCACCATGCCTAGCTAATTTTTGTATTTATAGTAGAGATGGGGTTTCACCATGTTGGCCAGGCTAGTCTTGAACTTATGACCTCAAGTGACCCACCCACCTCGGCCTCCAAAGTGGTGTTATTACAGGCATGGGCCACCATGCCCAGCCAGTCCTCATTTATTTTCTAAATGCTTCCTGTTACAAATATTTGCACAATATGCAAAGGAAATCAAGTTTTACTGATCTTGTGTTCTTGCTAATTTAATGGAAAATGACTCTCCAAGCCCAAATGCCACACATAATTATATCATGTATTGTGGGGTAAATGTGTCTCTGTAAGACTCAACAAATGACCTTGGTGAAGCAAAAAGGATAGGAGATCTAGGGCATTTTTTTTTTTTTTGAGATGGAGTCTCGCTCTGTCACCCAGGCTGGAGTGCAGTGGCGCGATCTCGGTTCACCGCAACCTCGACCCCTGGATTCAAGTGATTCTCCTGCCTCAGCCTCCCAAGTAGCTGGGACTACAGGCGCCCGCCACCACGCCCGGCTAATTTTTTGTATTTTTAGTAGAGACGGGGTTTCACCGTGTTAGCCAGGATGGTCTCAATCTCCTGATCTCATGATCTGCCCGCCTCGGCCTCCCAGGGTGCTGGGATTACAGGCGTGAGCCACCGCGCCCAGCTGGGCATATGGTTTTAACATATTTTCTCATCATTTCTGTTTATCGTGTTTCATCAAATCTAGAAATGCTATCAACGATGATGTATCATTATTTTATACACCTCTTGGGAAAAGAAAACACTATGAATTATAATTGTAAAATGCATCCCAATTTCAGAGACTTTTTATTTAAACAACTGGAAGCAGCCAGCATGGTGGTTCACACCTGTAATCCCAGCACTTTGGGAGCGTGGGGCGGGTGGATAGCTGGAGCTCACAAGTTCAAGACCAGCCTGGGCAACATAGTGAAACCCCATCTCTACTAAAAATTCAAAAAGAAAAAGAGAAAAAGTATTAGCCAGGCGTGGTGGCGCACACCTGTAGTCCCAGCTGCTTGGAAGGCTGAGGTGGGAAGATGGCTTAAGTTGGAGAGGCTGAAGTTGCAGTGAACAGAGATTTTGCCAACTCCAGATCATTCAGGGCAACAAGCTGCCCCAGGAGCAACAAGTTAGGGCTGGTCCTGAGGTCCATGACTCCACACACACACACACCCCTTGTTGCCTTCTCTCTGTGGTATTGGTATTCCTGTGGGTATCTGGCACATTTCCTCTTAAACTCTTCTCACAAAGGGATGTAATTGTATGTTTTAATTCCAGACAAGGGACTGAGTGGCTGGCCAAGGAAGACTAAGCAAACTCAAGGGGCCCACACCTTGACTGCAGAGAGAAGAGAGGGGTTACCTTCAGTAATTCAAAGTTTTGCCGGCTTCTCTTTTGCAAGAGAAAAGGAGGAAACCCCCACAGAAATACAATCTCTGGCAAGGCAATCCATATACATCGAATACAAATTACCAGCCAGGCACAGTGGCTCTAACTTGTAGTCCCAGCACTTTGGAAGCCAAGGTGAGTGGATTGCTTGAGCTCAGAAGCTTGGGACCCGCCTAGGCAATCTAGTGAGACCCTGTCTCTGCTAAAAATACAAAACAATAGCCAGGCTATTTTGCACACCTGTGGTCCAAGCTACTCCAGAGGCTGAGGTGGGAGGATGGCTTGAGCCCAGAGGGCGAAGGTTGCAGTGAGCTGAGATTGCACCACTGCACTCCAGTCTGGGTGAAAGAGCCAGACCCTGTCTCAAAAATAAGTAAATAAATAAACAAATAAATAAAGAAGACATAAATAAATGAGCTCAGGAGTTTGAGACCAGCTTGGGCAACACAGTGAAACCCCATCTCTACAAAAAATACAAAAATTAGCAGAGCGTGGTGGCACGTGCCTGTAGTCCCAGCTACTCAGGAGGCTGAGGTGGGAGGATCGCTTGAGCCCAGGAGGCAGAGGTTGCAGTGAGCAGAGATCATGTCACTGCCCTCCAGCCTGGGCAACAGAGTCAGATCCTTTCTCAAAAAGAAAACAAAATCAAACGACCCCCAAACCCTCCAAATTACCTAAGGGTAGCTACATTCGTTTTCTCAGGCTGCCATAATGAAGTAGCACAGAGTGAGTGGCTTGAACAACACAAATGTACTTTCTCACATCTCTGGAGGCTAGAAATCCAAAATCAAGGCATGTGGGCAGGTTAGTTCCTCTGCTGCCTCTCTATTTGGCTTGCAGATGGCTGCCTTCTGGCTACCTCTTCACATATGCTCTTTCCTATGTCCACGCAGGCCTCTGGTGTCTCTCTGTGTCCACATTTCTTCCTCTTTTTTTTTTTTGACAGTGTCTCGCTCTGTTGCCCAACTGGAGTGCAGTGGCGCGATCTTGGCTCACTGCAACCTCTGCCTCCCGAGTTCAAGTGATTCTCCTGCCTCGGCCTCCTGAGTAGCTGGGATTACAGGCACCTGCCAATATGCCCGGCTAATTATTTTTGTATTTTTAGTAGAGACAGGGTTTCACCATGTTGGCCAGGCTGGTCTCAAGCTCTTGACCTCAAGTGATCCACCTGCTTCAGCCTCCCAAAGCGCTGAGATTACAGGCTTGAGCCATTGCACACGGCCCACATTTCTTCTTTTAATAAGGACATCCATTAGATTGATTAGGGCCCACCATGAATGGCCTCATTTTAACCTAAGCACCTCTTTAAAGGCCTCCAATACAGTCACTTTCTGAGGTACTCAGGGTTAGGGCTTCAACATATGAATTTTGAGGGGACACAATTCAACCCAGAATAATAGCTGAAATATGTTAAGTTTTTTTTTTTTGAGACGGAGTCTCGCTCTGTCGCCCAGGCTGGAGTGCAGTGGCATGATCTCAGTTCACTGCAAGCTCTACCTCCCGGGTTCACGCCATTCTCCTGCTTCAGCCTCCCGAGTAGCTCAGACTACGGGCACCCACCACCACGCCTGGCTAATTTTTTGTATTTTTATTAGAGACAGGGTTTCACCGTGTTAGCCAGGATGGTCTCGATCTCCTGACCTTGTGATCCGCCCGCCTCGGCCTCCTAAAGTGCTGGGATTACAGGTGTGAGTCACTGCGCCCAGCCGAAATATGTTAAGTTTTATATAATACTCTGGAAGGTTAAGGCAGGATTGCTTGAGCCTAGGATTTCAAGACCAGCTGGGGCAATATGGCGAGACCCTATCTCTACAAAAAATAAAACAGGCAGAGAGCGGTGGCTCATGCCTATAATCCCAGCACTTTGGGAGGCTGAGGCAGGTGGATCACCTGAGGTCAGAAGTTCGAGACCAGCCTGGCCAACATGGTGAAACCCCCGTCTCTACTAAAAAAAAAAATTAGCCAGGTGCGGTGGCTCATGCCCCTGATCCCAGTACAATAAGAGGCCAAGGCAGGAGCATCACTTGAGGTCAGGAGTTCGAGATCAGACTAGGCAACATAGTGAGACCCATCTCTACAAAAAAAATTTTTTAATTACCTGGGCGTGATGGCGGGCGCCTGTAATCCCAGCTACTCAGGAGGCTGAGGCAGGAGAATGGCTTCAACCCGGGAGGCAGAGGTTGCAGTGAGCCAAGTTTGTGCCACTTCACTCCATCCTGGGCAACAAGGCGAGACTCTATCTCAAAAAAAAAAAAAAAAAAACCTTGACAAATACAACACCAACTCGTATCAATCTGCACCTCAAATATCTGCTTTGGATGCAGGGCACTGCCATCCAGCAAACTGGGACAAAGATGTACCTTTTTTTTTTTTTTTTTTTGAGACTGGGTCTCACTCTCTCACCCAGGTTGGAGTGCAGTGGTACAGACACGGCTCGTTGTGGCCTCAGCCTCCCAGACTCAAGCGATGCTCCCACCTCAGCCTCCCAAGGATCTGGGACCATAGGCACACACCACCACGCCCAGCTAATTGTTTTATTTTATTTATTTATTTATTTATTCTACTCACCAATTGTCTGTCTTCCCCCGTGGACTGCTCTGTCTTGTTCAGCCCTATAAGGTATCCCTAATGCCTTATTAGGCCCTCAATTTTATTTTTGTTTTGGGGATGGCTGGATGAAGGAATGAATGGAGACCCTTCCTCCATCCTCAGGACGCCCCTTTTTAGGAACAAGGTGACCTGTTCTTTTGAGCTTGACTAGAGGGCAGAGGTAGAACAAGGAAAGCCTAAAACGGGAAGAAAGATTGGAGTGGATTGAGAAGAAGGATGAAGAGCTGGATTAGAGAAATTGAGGAAGGCTGCGGAGACTCAAGGAGGTTTCCAAGGGCGAAGGGCCAAGGGCAGAAGGGGAGGGGAGCTGCATCCAGCATGTCCTGACAGGTAGGCCTGGGGCTGGAATAGGTGGGCCTGCGGGTGGGGTGGGGCCGACGTGGGGGTTGATGGTCCTGTGATTGGGCGGGGCGGGAGGGAGGCGGGTCCTACGGCGGGAGGCGGGTCCTGTGATGGGCCGGGGAGGGAGGCGGGGCCTGTTATGGGGCGGGCCCTACGGCGTGCGGGCGGGGCGGGACTCGGGTGAGAGGCGGGTCCTGCAGGCGGCAGCCAGAGCTGCGCGCCGCGGCGGCGGAAGATGGCTGCGGCCGAGGTGGTGGACACTCAGCTGATGCTTGGAGTCGGGCTGATCGGTGAGGACGTAGGCGCCCTGCCTGGCAAGCCCGCACCCTGGTTCTGCCTCTGCTCCACCTCGGCCCGGGGCAGCCCTGGCTCCCGCGGCCCCTGGCGCCGCCCGCATGAGGAGGGCGCGGCCCCCTCCCTGTTGGGCCTGGACTGGGGGCTGCGGAGTCCGGCCTCCTTGGAACAGGGGACCCGGCCCGCCGCCGTCGCCTGCCAGCCCGCGGCCGCTTGTGGGGCCCTTCCGGCCGGAGGGAACCCGGGGACCTCCAAGATCCCAGGGTGGAGCTCCCCCTGCGCGCCCAGGCTGGGCGGCTGCGAGGGGCGCTGCGCGGGCAGGGCCGGGCCGGGCGGGAGCGGCCGGCTGGCGGCGCGGGGCGGCGCGGCGCGGCGGGGAGGAGGTAGGGCCCGGTTCTCCTGAGCCGCGCGCGGGCGGCTGCCTCGGAGCCACGGGTGACTGTGGGACCGGGCAGCTGGAGACTTCTGGGCCGGGTGCTGCGCGTAGTACACACGTTGTCTCCTTTTAGCACTCACCAAGGACCCAGGGGCCGTGGGAAACGTCTGACGCGCACTTCACGGAGGAGCAAATGGAGGCCCAGGCCGTCATTGTGCACCGACACACTATAGGCAGTACAGAGCCGGGCGTGGGACCCTCGCAGTGTAGCCCAGAGCCCCCAACCCCCACCAGTGGAGAGCTCCTGCATCATGTGATCGAGCTTGTGCATAAAGCAGGAGTTTCTACACAATCCTGTGAGGTGGAATCTCGGTTAGCTCTGAGGAATGTAATTATCTTCCATAATTAAAAAATATCACATTGGGATCTTTGGGCAGCCTCGTGCAGTGTTTAGGGGGTGGAACCCCTTGGTTCCCTTCGAAAAAGTTTTATTTTCCCGAGATTTTTGCACACCCCTAAACTCTTTCTATTCCCCAAGTGCACAATAACATTGCTTAGGCTTTAGCAAAACTGAAGAAATATACTGATTATTTTTCACTGCCTCGAAGCAGTGCGTTTATGTGGGAATCGCTTACTGTATTTCTTTTTCTTTCATCTTTTTTTTGTTTTGTTTTAGGCAGGGTCTCCCTCTTATCCAGACTGGAGTGCAGTAGCGCAATCACCGCTGTCTGCAGCCTCCACCTCCCAGGCCCAAACTATCCTCCCGCCTCGGCCTCTGAGTAGCTGGGACCTCAGGCGTGCACCACCACCCGATTAATTTTTGTATTTTTTGTGGAGATGGGATACCGACATGTTATCCAGGCGGATTACTGTATTTATTTCTAATGTGATTTTCAAACTGCTTCAAAACAAAACCTAAGTAACTTAGTTTCTCCAGAAGGTACTTTTGAACTAAGGCTAAGTTAAACTGTCTTTACTAATAGCAAATAAAAAAATGACATACAATCATGTTTTGAACTTAGCAGTTTTTTTATTATTCACATTAATATGAATTTAAAAGGGGTTTGCAGCCAGCCTGGGCAACGTGGTAAAACCCTGTCTCTACAAAAAATACAAAAATTAGCCAGGTGTGGTGTGCCTGTAGGTGGGAGGATTGCTTGATCCCAGGAGGCAGAGGTTGCAGCGAACTAGGATCATGCCACTGTACTCCAGCATGGATGACAGAGCGAGATCCCCCACCCCGTCTCAAAAAAAGAAATAAAAAAAAAAAAAAAGAGGCCAGGCGTGCTGGCTCATGCCTGTAATCCCAGCACTTTGGGAGGCTGAGGCAGGTGGATCAATTGAGGCTGGAAGTTGATCAGCCTGGCCAATATAGTGAAACCCTGTCTCCACTAAAAAGGCAACAAGTTAGCTGGGTGTGGTGGTGCACGCCTGTAATCTCAGACACTTGGGAGGCTGAGGCAGGAGAATCACTTGAATCTGGTAGGTGGAGGTTGCAGTGAGCTGAGATCGTGTCACTGCACTGCAGCCTGAGTGACAGAGTGAGACCCTGTCTCTACAGAGGAAAAAAAAAAAAAGAGTGTGGGTGTCTTTTTTAATATAATGATTTCTTTTCCTTTCGGCAGATACCCAGTAGTGGAATTACTGGGTGGAATGGTAGTTCTGTTTCAATAACAATTTTTTATTTGTAGTGTTGAGAGACAGGGTCTCTCTCTGTTGACTAGGCTGGAATGCAGTGGTGCATAGCTCATGACAACCTCTGAATCCTGGGCTAAAGTGATCCTCCCACCTTAGCTTCCTGAGTAGCTGGGACCATAGGTGTGCACCACCATGCCCAGCTAATTAAAAAATTTTTTTGTAGAGATGCAGTCTCACTATGTTACCCAGGTTGGTCTGGAGCTTCTGGTCTCAGGTGATCCTCCTGGCTTGCCAAAGTGTTAGAATTATAGGCATGAGCCACTGTGATTGGCCTAAACAATTTTAAATACAAAATTCATACAGTTGGTATGCAACATGGTTTGAAAGATTTCACTGTTCATCTCCAGTTTTGTTTTCGACAGACCTTTTCTATGTATTTATTAAGAATTATTCAGCTTGGCACGGTGGCTCACGCCTGTAATCCCAGCACTTTGAGGGGCCGAGGTGGGCGGATCATCTGAGGTCGGGAGTTCGAGACCAGCCTGACCAACATGGAGAAAATGAAACCCTCTCTCTACTAAAAATACAAAATTAGTCAGACGTGGTGGTGCATGCCTGTAATTCCAGCCACTCGGAAGGCTGAGGCAGGAGAATCACTTGAACCTAGGAGATGGAGGTTGCGGTGAGCTGAGATTACTGCATTGTACTCCAGCCTGGGCAATAAGAGCAAAACTGCATCTAAAAAGAAAAAAAAAAAAATTATTCCACCCAGCACTTTGGGAGGCCGAGGTGGGCAGATCACCTGAGGTCAGGAGTTCAAGACCAGCCTGGCTAACATGGCGAAACCCTGTCTCTACTAAAAACACAAAAATTAGCCGGGCATGGTGGTGGGCACCTGTAATCCCAGCTACTCCGGAGACTGAGGCAGGAGAATCGCTTGAACCTGGGAGCCAAGATAGCACCAGTACACTCCAGCCTGGGTGACAGATTGAGACTCCGCCTCAAAAAAAAAAAAAGAAGAATTATTCCAACTAGATAAAAACTTAATATAATTTTAGTTTATAAGCATTTGTGTGGGAGGAGATGGGGAGAAACTCTAACAATCTCTCTCTTTTTTTTTTTGAGACCGAGTTTCGCTCTGTTGCCCAGGCTAGAGTACAGTGGCGCGATCTTGGCTGACTGCAACCTCTGCCTCCCAGGTTCAAGCAATTCTTGTGCCTTAGCCTCCCGAGTAGCTGGGATTACAGGCATGCCCCACCACACCTGGCTAATTTTTGTATTATTAGTAGAGACGGGGTTTTTCCAGATTGGTCAGGCTGGTCTCGAAGTCCTGACCTCAGGTAATCCACTCGCCTTGGCCTCCCAAAGTGATGGGATTACAGGCATGAGCCACCGTGCCCGGCCAAAACTCTACCTTATCTCTAAGGCTGAATTTTCATTCATGGTTTGTTATAAAAACTTTTTACTCAGGTGGCCTGTAATTCAGGATCATGACAGCTAGATAATTTGAGCAGTAGAGATAGGTGGGAATTTGGGGTCTCAAGTACTCTAAGTTGCTTTGTAAAATGGGGTGTTAAAACTGATTCCACTAAGTGTTTCTGAGTAACCAATCAATTCACTTCCTTGCTGCTGTTTGACATTCTCACAGTGACCATCTTTCCACCGTAGAAAAGGACACAAATGGAGAAGTTCTGTGGGTGTGGTGTTATCCTTCCACGACAGCCACATTAAGGAACCTGCTGCTGAGAAAATGCTGCCTTACAGATGAAAACAAACTTCTCCATCCTTTTGTCTTTGGTCAGTACAGAAGAACATGGTTTTATATCACAACAATTGAAGTTCCAGAGTCTTCCATTTTGAAAAAGGTATGATTGCATGAAGGTAAAAAAAAACCCAAAATAGGCTAGGCACAGTGGCTCACCCCTGTAATCCCAGCACTTTGGGAGGCCGAGGTGAGCGGATCATGAGGTCAACAGATCGAGACCATCCTGGCCAACATGGTGAAACCCCGTCTCTACTAAAAATACAAAAATTAGCTGGGCGTTGTGGTACACGCCTGTAGTCCCAGCTACTCAGGAGACTTAGGCAGGAGAATTGCTTGAACCCAGGAGGCGGAGGTTGTAGTAAGCTGAGATCACGTCACTGCACTCCAGCCTGGTGACCAAGTGAGACTCCGTCTCAAAAAAAAAAAAAGAAAATATTAAATATTATTTTCATTGGGAATATTCTCTTTCACACTTCATTCTCATTCATTCTATAAATATTTATTGTTGTCTATTATATGACAGACCCTGTAGTTGATATAGTGGTGAGCAGTACAGCAATATGTGGTCTTTTCCCCTTTTTTTTGTTTTTGTTTTTTTGAGATGGAGTTGTTCTCTGTTGGTCGGTCTGGAGTACAATGGCACAATCTCGGCTCACTGCAACCTCCGCCTCCCAGGTTCAAGCGATTCTCTTGCTTCAGCCTCCCGAGTAGCTGGGATTACAGGCACCCACCATCACGCCTGGCTAATTTTTTGTATTTTTAGTAGAGACAGGTTTTACCATGTTTGTCAGGCTGGTCTTGAACTGTTGACCTCAGATGATGTACCCGGCCAGGATAAATTCAGAATTTAGAAAGGCAAGCCGAGTGCGTTAGCTCACGCCAGTAATCCCAGCATTTTGGGAGGCTGAGGCGGGTGGATCACCTGAGGTTGTGAGTTCAAGACCAATCTGACCAACATGGAGAAACCCCATCTCTACTGAAAATACAAAAAATTAACCAGGCGTGGTGGCGCATGCCTGTAATCCCAGCTACTCGGGAGGCCTGCGGCAGGAGAATCTCTTGAACCTGCGAGGCAGAGGTTGTGGTGAGCCGAGATTGCGCCATTGTACTTTAGCCTAGGCAACAAGAGTGAAACTCTGTCTCAAAAAAATAAAAAAAAAAAAAATTTAGAAAGGATGTTTAAGGCAGCTCAAGTATGAAGTAGACTTTTCTTGGTGTGTTGTTTGGTATGAACAGTATCAGTGTGACGTGGAAGACTAGGATGTGGTAATCGTGGACTTTCCTAATCCCAAGCAACCAGCAGGTTTTTTCAAAGAATAGAATATTGGAACAAAGTGGCTGAGCCTCTGGCATGTACCCAGACAGACATTTTTTCCTGTTTTAGGGCTAATGTATAGCCAATAGTGGGACTCTGTGAAACGTGACTAGAATACCAGCTTAAATTTAAGAAATTACATTTAAAATAGCAGGAAGGTAACAATTTAGAAACTGTAGAAGGCTTAAGACAAAGCAGATTCATAGTTACAAAATCTAAAAAATACAAATTTGCAAGAAGATAGGTTGTGTGTTTTTTTTTTTTTTTTTTTTTTGATGCGGGTTTTGCTCTTGTCGCCCAGGCTGGAGTGCAGCGGCATGATCTCGGCTCACGGCAACCTCTGCCTCCCAGGTTCAAGCCATTCTCCTGCCTCAGCCTCCTGAGTAGCTGGGATTACAGGCATGTGCCACCACGTCCAGCTAATTTTCTTTCTTTCTTTTTATCTTTTAACTTCAATTTTTAATTTTTATTTTTTGAGTCAGAGTCTCATTTTGTCACCCAGGCTGGAGTGCAGTGGTACAATCATGTCTCACTGCAGCCTTAATCTCCTGGGCCCAAGTGACCCTCCCACCTCAGCACCCTGAGTAGCTGGGAGCACAGGCGTGCACCACCATGCCCTGCTAGTGTTAAAATTTTTTGTAGAGATGAGGTCTCACTCTGTTGCCCAGGCTGGTCTTGAACTCCTGGGTTCAAGTGTTCCTCCTGTCTTTTCTCCTAAAGTTCTGGAATTACAGGCGTGAGCCACTGCACCTGGCCAAAAAGATAGGTTTCAATATGTAATGAAATCTTTGGTTTATTGCTCAGTAAGTTCTTTTCATTTATTTTTTTCTTTTTTTGAGATGGAGTCTTGCTCTGTCACCCAGGTTGGAGTGCAGTGGTATGATCTCGGCTCACTGCAACCTCTGCCTCCCAGGATCAAGCGATTCTCATGCCTCAGCCTCCCAAGTAGCTGGGATTACAGGCATGCGTCACTACCTACTCTTCATTTTAAATGTATCTCTTCAAAGTTTTGTATTTCTAAAATTCTGAATTTTGTCTCATTAGTGGAAATATTAGGTATATGATTATCAGAAATTTATAATAATAGAGGCATATAAGTAAATGAAGCTTCTTTTCTTTTTTTGAGACAAAGTCTCACTCTGTTGCCCAGGCTGGAGTGCAGTGGCATGATCTCGGCTCACTGCAACCTCTGCCTCCTGGGCTCAAGCAATTCCCTGCCTCAGCCTCCCAAGTAGCTGAGACTACAGGCGCTCGCCACTATGCCCGGCTATTTGTATTCCTTAGTAGAGACGGGGTTTCACTGTGTTAGCCAGGATGGTCTCGATCTCCTGACCTCGTAGTCCACCCGCCTCGGCCTCCTAAAGTGCTGGGATTACAGGCGTGAGCCACTGCGCCCAGGCGGTCTTTTTCTTTTAATACTGTTATGTCTTAAAAGGTTTGTTAGAATATAGTAATAAAAATTCTGCTAAAGCGTCTTTAAAAAGTGTGTTTTTATTTTGTTTCTTTTGAACAGGTGACTCATTTTTCTATTGTTCTGACCACCAAAGATTTTAACCCAGAGAAGTATGCTGCCTTCACTAGGATATTGTGTAGGTCTGTATAAAAATTGTATTAAATGCTAATATATAAAATGAAGACCTTAATATAGTTAAATAGCAGATTTCTATACTGAGAAAGCAAAGTTCAGCCTTGTGTCTCCCCAACAAAATCTTTAGTAGCCCTTCACGGACTGTAAAGAGGGCGTTTCTCTTTTGCTTTGTTGATACTTCTCTTATTTGGGTAAATGATCTAGGGGAAGAGAAGAAGCAGTTTGTGTAGCTATTGTAGCTCCTGGGTGTTCTGAGTCACTTCCTACTTTTGGTCTGTTACTTCTGTTCACTTCTAGTCTAGAATTCCCTTAGTAGGTTGGATAAGTTAAGTGCCTTATGACACGGTAAACTGGTTTGTATGTGTCAAGGTCTGTGTGTGCAGTCATTTTGGGGAAAGAATTATGCCGAAGCACAAGAACACATTTCTTAGCTGGAATGTTGAGAAGCTAGGGAATTCTGATTAATTGGTTAGTCGTGATTCAGCTAGACTGTTTTAGTTTCATCTCCATTGTTGAAAAATTTATCAAAAATGGCCTGGCATAGTGGCTTACACCTGTAATCCCAGCACTTTGGGAGGCCGAGGTGGGCGGATCACGAGGTCAGGAGATCGAGACCATCCTGGCTAACACAGTGAAACCCCGTCTTTACTAAAAATACAAAAAATTAGCCAGACGTGGGGGCGGGCGCCTGTAGTCCCAGCCACTCGGGAGGCTGAGGCAGGAGAATGGTGTGAACCCGGGAGGCAGAGCTTGCAGTAAGCCGAGATTGTGCCGCGCCACTGCACTCCAGCCTGGGCGACAGAGCGAGACTCCGTCTCCAAAAAAAAACCTCAATAAATGGTTGCCTTTTGGCTGTTTTGGTGCATCAATGTATATACACACACCAGATAAAAGCAAAAAAATAAAAAAGAGAAAAACTATCATAAGACTATCTTCTCATTACCTAAGGGTTTCAGTTAAATTATATCTTGGCTAAATGAGATTTCACCATTTTTGCAGCCAGCCAGAATAAAAAAGCTTCCTACTCTCATAAGAAATTCCAGGTGAATGTCTCACTCTGGATAAACAGCTGTCTGCTAATGTGGCACTTACACAAAGGGAGATTATTATTGCCAGAAAAGACGCTATCCAGAAGCCATAAACTGAAACACTACAGAGGTATTTTTGAACAAACATTGGACTCCCATTTCATTTGGTTGCTCAACTGAATTCACTGGGAAATATTCTGGAGTCCAAAAGGCAAGGTTGCTTCAGACCCCACTTCCTGCCCAGAAGGAGGCCCAGATGGTTTCTCAGCTTCTGCGGTGCATGGCATTGTAGTATCCCGGATTTCCTCTCCCGTCATGGTGCAAGAGAAGTGAGAACTCGGAGCTACTGCCAGCCGCCTCCTCTGCTTCCTGCCCTTTAATGCAGCACTATGCTCTCTCTTGCATGTATGCACGTCCACGTATTTGTACACACACACACAGGTCTGCGTGTACATGCACACACTCATAGGCAAAGACTTCTTTTCTTCATGACAGTGAGGTTGATGGAGTTGTCTCCCTCCGTTTCTGGTGAGAGGAGCAGGCAGGCGTGCCTTCCACACACAGCTTGCTGCGCACAGCCGCAGCGGAAGCCCGCAGGAGGGAACCTCATTCCCTGTGTGGCTGCAGGTTCACTGCCGTGGTCCCCTTCAGCCTCTAGTCGCTTGCAGCTAGTGGCCCTGCTAGAGAACCAGGGTTTCATGCACACTTACAGTCAGCTGTCCAGGCCAGGTGTGGCAGCCTATGGATGTCTATCTGAACAAGGCCCTCTGGGTCACACTGTGGGCTTTTCCTGTGGAGTGCTTTTGGGGGGATTTTCCCCTCTGTTTTCTCTCTCCTGGCCCAGGGTTGTCATGTAAGAAGTCATCTTATCCTACCAACCTTATGTTTCTCTTCTCTATTACTGTGTATTGTTTATATTTCATAATTTTTTTTTTTTTTGACACGGTCTCACTCTGTCACCCAGGCTGGAATGTAATGGCGCCATCTCGGCTCACTACAACCTCCACCTCCTGGGTTTAAGCAATTCTTGTGCCTCAGCCTCCCAAGTAGCTGGAATTACAGGCACCCACCACCACGCCTGGCTAATTTTTATATTTTTAGTAGAGACAGGGTTTCACCATGTTCACCAGGCTTGTCTTGAGTTCCTGGCCTCAAGTGAGCCTCTTGCCTCGGCCTCCCGTAGTGCTGAGATTATAAGCATGAGCCACAGTGCTAGGCCTCTATTTTAGAAAGTTAATGGCATTTTGCTTTTTTTGTTGTTGGTGGTAATAAAGCACACTTAGAAATACAGGAGATTATACAGTGAAAACTAAGCTCCCTCCTCCTCCTGTTCCCAGACTCCAGTTCTACCTCCTGACCCCCACTCCACACAACTCCTGTGACCTCCTTTTTTATATCCTATCAGAGAAGTTTTTCTCCCCGTGTGAGCTTGTGTGTGAGTTCCTGGATTTGAATGTATTTTACGTGTGTGAAAGCTCACCACATTCCTTGTTCTTTACCTTTTTTCCCTCAAGTTATGAACTGAATTAGTAGTTTTTTTTTTGTTGTTGTTGTTTTTTTTTGAGACGGAGTTTTGCTCTTGTTGCCCAGGCTGGAGTGCAATGGCGTGATCTCAGCTCACTGCAACCTCCACCTCCCAGGTTCAGGTGATTCTTCTGCCTCAGCCTTCCCAAGTAGCTGGGATTGTAGGCACGTGCCACCAAGCCCGGCTAATTTTGTATTTTTAGTACAGATGGGGTTTCTCCATGTGGGTCAGGCTGGTCTCGAACTCCTGACCTCAGGTGATCCACCCACCTCAGCCTCCCAAAGTGCTGGGATTACAGGCGTGAGTCACTGCACCCGGCCTGAATTAGTAATTTTTTAAAAACACTGATGATTGACAAAAGGTGGCAAGCAGTTAAAACACTTGCTTTTTTCATTTAGTCTGTGATAAATATAATTTTCAAGTGATCTGTCTTGTTTTTTTTTGAGACGGAATCTCACTCTGTTGCCCAGGCTGGAGTGCAGTGGTGTGATCTTGACTCACTGCAATCTCCTCCTCCTGGCTTCAAGCGATTCTCCTGCCTCAGCCTCCCAAGTAACTGGGATTACAGGCATGAGCCACCAGGCCCAGCTAATTTTTGTTTTTAGTAGAGACAGGGGTTCACCATGTTGCCCGGGCTGGTCTCGAACTCCTGGCCTCAAATGATCCGCCCGCCTCGGCCTCCCAAAGTGCTGTGATTACAGGTGTGAGTCACCGTGCCCAGCCCTCAAGTGATCTGTGTTAAATATGTTTTATTTTCTTCCCGATTTTCTATCCCACCAGCTCCTGAAAGGCCCAAATAGACCCAGTCATGTTTCTCAAGCAAAATTTAGTTTTCGTTGCTCACAGGAAGAGATTTCAAGGGGAAGAGAGGGATTCCACATGTGAGCTATAAATGCATCTAGTTTCCTGTCAGCATTTTCTGGAAGCTTTAACTTGATGATGAATGTCTAATGTGCATTTATCACCAGCGGAAACCTAAAGGACTCATTTAATTTTTTTTTTTTTTTTTTTTTTTTGAGACGAGTCTCGCTCTGTCCGCCGCGACGTCGGAGTGCAGTGGCCGGATCTGAGCTCACTGCAAGGCTCCACCTCCCGGGTTTTACGCCATTCTCCTGCCTCAGCCTCCTGAGTAGCTGGGACTACAGGCGCCCCGCCACCTCGCCCTGGGCTAGTTTTTGTTATTTTTTAGTAGACGACGGGGTTTCCACCATGTTAGCCAGGCATGGTCTTGACTCGCTGACCTCGTGATCCACCCGTCTCGCCTCCCAAAGTGCTGGGGTTACAGGCTTGAGCCACCGCGCCCCGGCCTGATTTCTAATTAGCTAAATGTAGGCTACTCCTGGGAACTCTAAATAATAGTATGGGTTCTACACTATTACTGCTTCTCTGTGAACAGTGCATAAAATCTCCTTTGCTTGTCAAAGGAAATCTTAGTAATAAAACAGAGTTGCATGACTAAGAACCCCAGTTGGGAATGTTGAGACACAGGATAAGTGCCACAACATTCTTTTTTTTTTTTTTTTGAGATGGAGTCTCGTCACTCTGTCGCCCCAGGCTGGATTGCAGTGGCGCGATCTTGGCTCACTGGCAAGCTCCACCTCCCCGGGTTCACGCCATCTCCTCCTGCCTCAGCCCTCGCCAAAGTAGCTGGGACTACAGGCCCGCCTTGCAC